GAAATATATAGGCCCACAACATTAAAAATACAGCAGTATATTTCATTGTACACATGGGGTACTTTTTATCCCCGTGTTCACCAAACCTATCTTGAGTGTTTGTTGCTAAAAAGCTCATTTTTTAGTTACATCTGACCGTAGAAGCCAGTCCCATTTGAAGTTCCAGTCGTATCTGACAACAGAATATGCTGGGGATTGTTTTTGGATGAGAGCATTTTCTTTTCTTGATTTTTTTTTTCTTGAAACCCTCCAAAACAACATGTGGTGATGTAGGGTTTGTTTGATATATTTTTTAGACTCAACTATTTTCTGCAGTTCTTCAGCTGTGATCCTTGGGGAGTCTTTTTGAGATTTCCCCCCATTTTCAATTGTTTTAGTTCAATAAAAGGTTAGATATGTGTGAATTTTTTTAAATAAAAGATCAAAATGATTAACAATGCAGATTTATTTTCACAGCCTTCTTTGATCATATTTACCAAGGGTGCCAATAATTCTGACCACGACTGTACATACAAAAATATTTTGGATTGATGTGGAGCTTTTTATTAAGAATAAACTGAACATTTCTCTGCAGTTGGGTGGATTTAATATAATGATACACCTAAATGATTGTGGATTTGAGACAAATAAAGCATATTTCATACAATTGTTAATTTTAATAGGAAAGTTTCATATTCATAAAATGAAATGGTCAGGCTCCAAACCAAACTTTTCTTATTTTATAAACAATTTCAAGCTTTATTGTAATGTCCTGTGTAATTGCACAAGTAAAAAGGCTATTAGAACTCATAATATTGTAAGGAGGCATGCTATTGTATAAAGTGAGGCCCTTATTTTTTATTATTATTATTATTATTATTTTATTTATTTTTTTGTTATATCCTCTGGCACTGTTTCATTAATGTTGTTAATCTTTTTGTTTTTTTCTTTTTACATCTGAATATTTCTCATGGTATTGTTCTGATTTATGGCATTAATAAAAAAAAAGAAAAAAAAAAAGAAAAGAAAGAACTGACCTGAATCCTACACCAGCTAATGTGATTGTTTCCCGCCACAGCCCAGTTTAATTGGAAAATGATACATCACAGTCCGTCACTGTCTGATGTTGAATTCCAAAATAAAGGCCCTCCAATACTCACATATATGAAGAGTTCACATGCAAAAGCCTCTAAGTGCCATATTAAATTTTCTTCTTATTAGGCTCTTATGTTTAGGTTCAGTAATTTTACTTTAATGGCAATGTATAGGTCCTTTTTTATGCCGTTAAAGTCAAATAAATGAATATAAATATAGGATGTTGACAAAAATTATCATTTTAGATAATCAATTTTCAGCATCATTACTCCAGTCTTCAGTGTTACATGACCCTTCAGAAATCATTTTAATATCCTGATTTATTATCAATGCTGGAAACTGTTGTGCTGCTTAATATTTTTTTGGAAGCTGTGATACTTTTTTTCAGGATTCTTTGATGAATAAAGAGTTAAAAAGAACAGCATTTATTTAAAATAGAAGTCTTTTCTAACAATATGCACTACCGTTCAACAGTTTGGGGTCAGTAAATTTTTATTCTTTCTTTTATTTTTTTTTAAAGAAATTAAAACTTTTATTCAGCAAGGATGTGTTTTTTTAAAGAAATTAAAACTTTTATTCAGAAAGGATGTGTTAAATTGTTAAGAAGTGATAGCAACGATTTATATTGTTAGAAAATATTTATATTTTGAATAAATACTATTCTTTTTTACTTTTTATTCATCAAAGAATCCTGAAAAAAGTATCTCAGTTTCCAAAAAAATATTTGGCAGCACAACTGTTGATAATTCTAATAATAAATCAGCATATTAGGGATGATAATAGGTGAGCGCCAGCCAATGAGATTATTTAGTTCCGTCATCTACCAGATGCTCTGTGCAACTATCAAGAACTTTTTTTCCATTTCATTATCCCTTTAAAGGCAATGCGATGATCACAACTTGTTAGGACAGAAACTCACCGTAACACGGACCAAACAGGATTCATTGCTTGCATCGCATCACACCTGACTGAACTTCAAACGATGTTTCTCACCTCCGTTAGTAAATCGGCCAACTCCACGTGGACCTTGGTTCTGAGGGAGGTGCGGGCGACACTGATGAGAGTCTCTCGGTCCATCTGCTTCACCACCTTCACCTCCTCCAGCACCTCGAGAGCCTTGTCCTTAGCAGCCTCGAAGCCCTCAGCGATCACCCGGGGATGAAGACCCTGTAGACAGATGGCCATCACTTCTAACTTAAGAAAAAATAAACTAACACTGAAAGTTAGAAATATAAGGAGTGCATGTAAACCTCGGAGACGTGGAGGTCTGCCTGCTTGAGGAGCTCTCCGATGATCAGCACATTGGACGTCGTGCCGTCTCCGGTGATGTCATCCTGGGCCGTGGCCACCTTGGCAATCAATGAAGCGGTGGGATGCTGGATTTGCTGAAGACAAATCAGAATATCAATGAAGGCGTGCCGTTTCAGAGCAATAGACAGGGGCGCAACCGTTTTATTGATAGAGTCAAAATTCATGTGTGAACAAACAGTTGGGAGAAAATCAGACGCGTGTCTGTATGTGTCAGCACAAAAGCAGTCTTAAGTCGCTGGGGTATATTTGTAGCAATAGCCAACAATACATTGCATGGGTCAAAATTATCAATTTTTTCTTTTATGCCAAAAATCATTAGGATATTAAGTAAAGATCATGTTCCATGAAGATATTTAGTAAATTTCCTCCTGTAAATATATCAAAACTTAATTTTTGATTAGTAACATGCATTGCTAAGAACTTCATTTGGACAACTTTAAAGATGATTTTCTCAATATTTAGATTTTTTTGCACCCTCAGATTCCAGATTTTCAATTAGTTGCATCTCAGCCAAATATTGTCCTATCCTAACAAATCATACAGCTTATTTATTCGGCTTTCAGATGTGAAATCTACCCTTATGACTGGTTTTGTGGTCCAGGGTCACATATTACATCCATGCATTAGGTCTTAAAGTCACAGCAGCCCAAGTTATGCAGACCTGGCAGTGGCAACCCTTGGCACTATAATATCTGTCCATACAATGGAAGTCATTATGAAACAAAACAGTTTGCTCACCAACATTCACAATATCTTCCGTTAGGTCCCACCGAACAACAAAATTAACCAGTTATTATCCGCATTCCAAGTTTTCCAACTTTTAAAAATCACTTTAAACAACTACAAATGGTTTTGTTCTGCTTTTCTATTATGTTCTAAAAAAAATAAAAAGGTTTTCTGTTTTACATTTTTTGAACCATTCTAAATTCATGATTTAAAGATTATAAGCAATCCTTGCTGTCATTGAAATGCAAAACGTCACTGAAACAAACAAACAAAAAAAAAAAAGATATGAAGGCGAGTTAATGACAATTTTCATTTTTGGGTGAACCCTAAATTGAACCTGGAATGGTACACTGTAACGTGTATAACTGTTTAACCCCAGCTGAAGGAATCAAGAGCTTACAGATGTCAGATTGGACATATCTTCTCCAATTCAATCTACACCACAACAAGCGCCTCTCTGCTTTCATATGGATGCCTCACTCCATCGTGCTCAGATTTAGATGTTGATTCAACACGACTGAGCTACAAAACGCATCTGAGATTAACATGGTTTGTGAGACACTGATTCTGAAGAAGCCGCTGCATCCAAACTCATATCTGCGAGTCACAGCCCTGCTGCAATATGGGCCGAATGCCACAAGTTTACACATAAATGCACGCACCAACATGAAGCGCAGCTCTTACCATCTCATGCAGCAGAACGTTCCCATCTTTGGTGAGCTTGATGTCTCCTGCACCAGACACAAGCCTGTGAGAGGAACACAACACACAACAGACATGACACCTTCAGCAAGAGTGCTTTCACTTTATATCCATTCACTTCAAAATCATTTAGGAATAAAATAAAAAGGTTATTTCTGGACTTTGAAGTCACTGTAAAACTCTAAAAACACACCTGTAACCTCAATGCATCAGAATTACTGATCTGTCCGTTTGACAACCACATACTGCTAAACATCACTGAAGAACTACAGCACATGGCATAAGAATTCATGTTACAAAGACAGATGAAGGCTCATATCAAAAGGAAGAGGTGCAAACTCTGCCCAAAAGTTATGCACAAATCATAAATGTTCCGTTCTAGGTTGCACTATGCAAGAAATGTAGAAAATACTTTACAGCAGTTGTATTACCCCCCCCCAAAAAAAATTCTCCAAAACACTACAGTACAACTGTTTTCAAAAATGCATGCCATCTTTTGTAATGCATATATAATTTTTTTTAATATATATTAAAGTAGTATTAGTATATTTTTTATTTAATGCCATGTCAGCATCTTAGGCTATTTTCATGGCAAAAACTATTCGAAAAATACAAGTATAACAAATACAAGAAAAACCAGCAAACAAACAAGTTATATTGTACTTTTGATATATTAAAACATTGTGTATTATCAATTATTTTATTGACTTCGTTAACAGGACACCTATTTATTTATTTAATGACAAATAACAAAGTGTCCTTGTTCTAGTGTAATTATACATTTAAGTAAAAATTCTATGTTGAGTAATATTCATAAACTACATGTACTTACTATATGGCTAGGGTGACTTGCATGCAATTATACATAATCTATTGTTATTATAATAGCAAGTACATGGACACCTTAAAATAAAGTGTTACCTAAATAAATAAGACAAAATGAAATACAATTAATTCCCCTTGATGCATCTAGGATTAAAATGATAACTTAGATGCAATTAACACATTTGATGAGAAAATTAAATTATGCTAAATAATAATTATTATTATCGTTATTAATAAACAAATATCAATTTCCATAACAGCATGTAAAATGTGTCTCCAGGACATCTGAATGCTGAATGAGTCAGTTTATAGCTCAGTTGCTAACTAACTGCTTTGACAACCGGTGAGTCCATAATTATCGCAAACATACACTTTCATTTAACAGACAGATTTTCCGAGCACTGCTAAACACTGTAACATTTGGTAGTAAGCGCTGGAGCACATGTTTCCAGCTCTTCACCGGTTAGCTGACTAGCACCGACAAACACGTGCTAACAAAGCAGCTATTAGCCGCTAGCAGACAGACTCACATCTTCATCGTGCCTTTCGGTCCCAGGTTACTCCTCAGCACATCCTGGAGCCCTCGAGCGGCGCTGATGTTCACCGCCAGAGCCGCATGAGCCCGGGCCACCTCCGCCTTCGGGTTAAGCGCTTTTACCGCGGACATTCTGCCGAGGACCGGAGCACAGCTTCACGCGGAGATTAACGGAAGAGAGGCTCACAATCACACGCACGCTTCCAGAAGCTTCCTCGCCCAATATGGCAAGCCAAGAGGTTCATATTTATGTTCTACAGAAATCGCCAGCCACGCCTTACACAAAATAAAGAAATATTTACTTGACAAAAAAGGTTTATTTTTTCATGATCTACTATATCCTCCTGACTACCAGGAAAATCAGTTTAGTGAATTTAGTATTTTGTCATGTCATTATATTGTTTAGAGCATAACAAAAAATTTGAAAAATAAAATTTTTGAAAAATGATACTTTATTCATCTGTAGAGGACATCGAGACTTTAAACAGTCCTGTTTTTTATTTTAAAGTGCCCCTATTATGGGTTATGAAAGGTTCATAATTTGGTTTTGGGAGTCCCCAGCAACAGGTTGACATGCATGCAAGGTCAAAAAACACTTTCATCGTCTTATAATATGCATTTATTTTTACCTTACTTGCTCAATGACTCCCAAACGATTCGCTCAACGATTAATTTTTAGTGTTACTCCGTTGCGTGACGCTAATCTCTGCGGTGATTGGTCTGATTGGATCTCGCCTGTAAAGCCTGATAAAGCAGTGTTTGTGAGCACAGTGCTGCTTTGTGTACAGCGTTACCATGGAAACAGCTATTTTTACCACTCCAGAAGCGACATCTAGTGGCGAAGAATGAATTTGCATTTTCATTCAGACCAACATGAAAGCTCATGTTCAAAAATCCATAATAGGGGCACTTTAACATATTGATCTGTACTGTAAAGTGTTCGCAGAATCATTTCAGCATTATTACTATGTGCAGTTGGTTTAGCCTGCATAAATCAAGTGATGGCTGTGTAGTTATGTTATAGACTACTGAAAGCATTATAATGGCTACAGTATTGTATTAAATGATAAAGAAGCTGCACTTTTATTTCTGTTACTGAGGACAAGAGAAGCTGAGAGTGCACTGATCATCCAGATGGCACGGTGCCTAGCCATGCATTACGTACATTTGCTAAACTTGTCCCTCAACATGTATTCATTCTAACATAAAACCTTGATTGTGTGTCACCTACCCAAAGACAGTATGCACGCCACAAGAACTCATTTAACATTTACTTTACAGCCAAATCCATCCTACATTTCGGAACCATACAACATTTGTCCAAAAGATGTAATGTACATTATTAACAATGACTGGTGAGGATACCTACATAAACAATAAATCTTATTAAAAAACACTGCAAAGGAAGCGGATTCATAAGCTAAAGATATAGGGTATATTCTATAGTTTTGCATGCACATCTGCTAGGGGGATTTTCTGCATGGCTGTACTTATCAGTGAAAATGCTTACAATCTTCAATAAAACAATTTGAAGAGATGATTGTACGCACAACAGAAACACTTTCACTTATAAAACTTTGCATAGAATTCATCCTAAACATTTTCAGATTTGTAAAACAGTATGTTCACCAGAAAATGCACCAAATTCCCTTCAGAAACCCTAGTGAGTGAAAGATTGTACAGTACGTTCATGCATCCCCACCATAACCATATATGGAGCTTACAACACTAGTTTTACTCTGCATAACATCATCTGCATATCATTTGCATATGTTTATGGGTACAAGAAAAAATAAAATGACTAACCGCTTACTGTTTCCTTCATATAAAAGATTGAATTGAATATGCCACTCATTAATGCAAATAATTATCCATCAGCCATACAGCAAATATAGGCCTATTTTTGAACAGTAAGATTTTTTATGTTTTTTAAGTTTTCTTCTGCTCACCAAGCCTGCATTTATTTGATCCAAAATACAGCAAAAGCAGTAATATTGTGAAATATTTTTACTATTTAGAATAACTGCTTTCTAAGTGAATCTCTGTTAAACTGTAATGTATTTCTGTGATGCGCAGCTGTATTTTCAGCATCATTACTCCAGTCTTCAGTGTCACATGATCTTCAGAAATCATTCTAATATGCTGATTTGCTGCTCAAGACACATTTCTGATTATTATCAATGTTGAACACAGTTGAGTAAATTTTTTTTCAGGATTCTTCGATTAATAGAAGGGGGGGAGAAATTATAGAAATGAATACTTTTATTTAGCAAGGATGCTTTAAATTGATCAAAAGTGATGATGAAGACATTTATAATGTTACAAAAGATTTCTATTTCAGATAAATGCCATTCTTCTAAACTTTCTATTCATCAAAGAAACCTGAAAAAATTCTACTCTGCTGTTTTCAACATAATAATAATAAATGTTTCTTGAGCAGAAATCAGCATATTAGAATGATTTCTGAAGATCATGTGACACTGAAGACTGGAGGAATGATGCTGAAAATAGAGCTGCGCATCACAGAAATACATTACAGCTTAAAATAAATTCAAATAGAAAACAGTTATTTTAAATAGTAAAAATATTTCACAATATTACTGCTTTTGCTGTACTTTGGATCAAATAAATGCAGGCTTGGTGAGCAGAAGAGATTTCTTTAAAAAAACATTAAAAATCTTACTGATCAAAAACTTTTGACTTGTAGTGCATGATAAAGATTTCATGTAATTTGAGTACAGATGGTTATGTCTTAAGTGAATGTAAAAAGCACTCCGATGCGTGTAAGACTCTGCAGTGGCTCTGAAACACATATAAGACGGTTCTCACTGGTTATAGCAGGGCGAGCTGGGGTTATTGACGTGACTGTAGGGGTTCACTCTGCTAACAGCTCCCAGACAGATCCAGCAGAAATACTTTTGACACGACGAACAGATCATCTTATTACAGCCGTGCCTTCTGCACAAACGGGGAAAACGAGAACGGATGGCATTCAGGTGCATTTTTCTGAGAAATACCGAAAGAGCAGAGCTTTGCACAACACGTGAGATTTCAGTTTGCAGAAGGTTCCCACAATTCTTCTTTAAATTGTTTATTAGAGATTTCTGGGGCAGTTTTGCATTTGAATGCCAGGTACAAATGCAATTAATAGGTGTATATGATAACATTTACAATACTATTACTATAGCAGTGACTAGTACTTTTCCACTTATGGACTCGCGGCAACCACATGTGACAACCCCGGGCTGGACTCCGCTTCGTCTGCGGTGAAAGCCGATCCGGCGATCCACAGCGTGAAGTTGATGTATTCCCTCAGCGACCAGCACGGATCAGCTCTAGGCATGACGAAGCGATATCGTCCTCTTTTGGAAGACCAAACAAAGTAGTTTCGCTTTCACAACGAAGCACACAGCGTCTTCACGACATGGCGGCAGCAACAATACTACAGCGAGAATAAAAGTTACGCCTTCTTTCTTTGCGTGAACATTTGGGCGGCGTTATGCAAATCTTCCCACATAGTGAGGTAGATATGTGGGGGCGTGTTAGAACGAGCTGTTTTAGGTAGGCGTGGCTGACTCTTAACTTTTATAAAGAATATCTCTTTGGATTTGAGACTTTAGTCTTTGCAACTTTACAGATCTTCTTTATGCACCAAGAGCTTGTAACACTCCAAAGAGAAAGGAACAATTGAAATCGCATCATATGACCCCTTTAAGATATCAACTTATAAAACACGTACCTTGCTCTATTCCCAAAGCAGCTCTACAGTAGACAACTGCAGTCTCACAGCAGGCCGGATGGGAGGAGCTTGTGTTTTTGTGTTCTTCTACGATTTAATGTCGGTGTGCAGAGCAGCTCAGCTGCATTACTGCCACCAACTGGAGAGGAGTGAGAGAGCTGGGGGAAAATAATAATAGAAACCTACAAGCCTGGTGATCTTAGATAATAGCTACATAATAATACTACTCTCAGTTTGTGGCATTGCAGCCATTTTCTCATGACAAACAGTGTAAACTGCTCCGGGTGTGTGTTCACGGTGTGTGTGTGCACTTGGATGCGTTAAATGCAGAGCACAAGTTTCGAGTTTAGGTCATCATACTTGGCCACACGTCACGTCACTTCACTTTCAAACAGTTTAAGTTAAGGTTAGTTGTTGGGGTTAGGCTTCAAATCTGCTAGCCTAATACACAAATCTGTACATAAATCTTCTGTTCCAGATTCATACACATTATTATTATCTATTGTTAAGCCTTAGTATTTAAATGTTTACTGTTCTCATGTCAGATATGTATGTATGTACCAAGAGTACCTTAAAAAACCAAAACAAATTCTTTGTGTGTCTTGGCGAATAAAGCTGATTCTGAAACATAGAGTTAACCCTGGGAACACAGGATCCTTGAACAGTGTTGCCAATTTAGCAATTTTGGTACTAGATTAGGCAACTTTTCAGACTACCCTAGCAAAAATATAGCTATTTTAAAAATGTATTTGACAACTTTTAGCAACTTTTTTTTCAAAAGAGTGACTCAAATGATAAAAAGGCATGCATCTTTCCTCTTAACCACACAAAAAGAAGAAACTATTGAGCAAAATCTATCAAAATGCAATGTGCAATTTAAAATGCAGGTGAAATGCTGGTGAAAAATTAACACAGAAAATTCCTTCATATTAATACAGTACACTGTGCCCTAATTTTATGGACTTTTCTTAGAGTGTAGCTTTAAACTAACTACCAATACACTGCTTAAAACTGTAATTTTCTGAAACTGAAAAAATTAAATGTTTCGCTTAAAAATAAAAATATGTAATAAAAAATGTGTTTATAGGTCTACTACATTTACAAATAATTTATATTCATATTATATTATATGTTTATTATTATTATTTTTTTTTTTTTACAAACAAATCTAAATGAACATATTTCAAATTTTATTCTTTGCTGAGATTTGAGTAATTTCAGTTTGTATTCTACGCAATGTCGTATTTTTGCGCCATGGTTGCATTATGACATCACCATCCAATGATGTCACAACGTCATTTAGCAACTTTTAGCAACAAAACGACCTGCCTTTAGCAACTTTACCTGAAAATAAGTTGGCAACACTGTCTTAAAACACAGTGAAAGTAGAGCAGACATCCTGATTGAAATATTACACATGTTGATTCAGTGGATGTTACATGTTACATTTTTACGAGTACCAGTTCATCGTGTAAAATGAGACAGCAGATGGGAGTACAA